AAATACTGGTTGGAAGTTAAAATTGTATGATCTAAATTATTACTCTGGACTATTTAATACATTAGAGAGATGTACCAAACATAAACATGCAATATCCCCTTTCTGATTTATTTATTTTTAATGTAAAAAGGAGACAAATTGTCTTTAAAATATAAAATCAAAATACTACTATTTATTTTCACTTATAGTTGACATGCCATTTAACATTGGGTTAAACTTAGATACAATAACAGCTTCTGCACATTCATTTTGGGATTTAGATGCCTAAAGAAATAGCATCTTTGTCATATGTCTTAATTACTGTGGTATGCCTAGATGTTAGAGGCACAAGAAATGTGCCCTCGGTAAGTCAAAAATTCGCCCTGGTCATTGTAATGTATATGTAATGAGACTAGTATCTCCCACCATGTCCGTTTTTATTTAAACTTTCTTTGCTCTATAAACTAACCCAAACCCTGTCAGAGTCGACATATGAGCAACACTTGCAATTTCTGTCATCGATACCACTCATATTAGTTACAATTTCATGGCATATTTTGACAGACGAGCCTGACAATCGTTAAGATATACAACGAACACACGTAAATAAACATAAATCTCTGTGCTTAATAAATATTTTCACTGGTGTCTTATCTCAAAGATTATTGTAAATGGTACTCACAAATCCAGTAAATACTTCGCGGCCAGGCCATTCTTCGTATCCATGGCCACCCAAGCAGGTTTTCATCTGCCTTCTTCCTCGCCGGTGTTTATTGTTTGCCTGTCGTACATTTGCTGATACACTGTTTTACGCATGTTTTTTGTAAAGGCTGTTTCTTTTTTCTTTTTGTTATCTGTCTTCGCTTCTTCGAAGGACTCCCAGCATAACTGAGCCTCCTGTTTCACGTTGTCCTTTCCCGGCAGCTTGAACTGGTTTTAACTAGGTCGCAATACGAGAATCTCGCGAGATCCGGAAGTCTAGAGAGCTCAATTATGAAAATGGAGGTGGTTGTTGGTAAACCTCCGCTTAAGCGGAGGTTTTCTTTTTATTGTATTTTCCAAAAATGTTACAGAGCGATGGCGAGTGCCGGGAATGATAGATTAAAGGTTGGTAAATCGCGGAAAAGTAGTGTTAACCTCGGGATAAATCAGGATAAATCAATTTTGGCGCGAAAATCCTCTTTTGTGTCCTTTTAAAAGTGGATTTTTTTTTTTTTTTTTTTTTTGCCCCAGCATCTCCCAGATGCACACTGGGGTCATAATTACTTAGCACATAATTCATCATTAAGGCCGCAAAGCCATTGCTTGCAAACCTGGGCTCCATAACTCGAAAGCATCGCCAATTGCGAATAACAATATCACCTTTTATTTCAAGGTTATTGCATGGGGCGAGTAAATTCAGAGTTACGGAAAATAGACGCTTGAGCTCGGTTGCAATTTTGTGATGCTTTTGAGTTACGGAGTTCAGGTCTGTACTATATACAGTATTGCTGTTGTCTTCAGGGTATAAAATTAATGTACTACAGCCTACTGCAGGATCCAACTAAAATGCATTGGAAACAATCACAAACGTTATCCACATTGCAGGTGTACTGTACAACCTTCAGGACAAGTTACTCTACTATCCTGAAGAGCCGGCACACTCCAGGATCTACGTAGAACTTCCTCAGGGCCTCAGTTACGAGAACATCTTCACACACACCTCTGACGGGGTACAGATCAACATGGTTCTTATAAAACAGCCACAGGGAAGGTTTGGAACGGCACCTACCATGGTTTTCTTTCATGGGAATGCTGGAAATATTGGGCATAGGTAAAGCAGTGCTTTAAATGCTTTTAATGAATTACATGAAACATGACATCAATTATCAGCATGGAGAATAAATCTGATCAGAATGTTACTAGCAATATGGAATACTATACTTCACAGAAATACAAAAAGGATCCTGGTATACATATGATTTTTCCTGATGTCTGAATCAAATATTTTCTTTTGATCCAGAAAAAAAAGAAAAAAGTTTTTCTTCCTATTGTTCATCTGATTTTTTTTTTAATGATTAATTTCCACTGCAGATTCATAAAAAAGGTGACATCAGGGGGTTCAGACAAACCAACCTTTTTGCCAGGAAAAGGTCAGATGTGGGTAAAAATTGATCTAGGTACATGGCTGTTTCATGGAAAAGGGTCCCCCTTTTTCAGAAAAAGCCCCCCCCCCTTTTTTTTTAAATCACTGACTTCAGGCCTGTGTCCATAACTTTCAGAATGATGAATGCTCACTGTTTGTACCTCTACTCTGGCTTCAATATTCTGTTGGTGGAATACAGAGGCTATGGTAAAAGTCAAGGAAGCCCATCAGAGGAAGGTAAGCTCTCTCCAGGATCATTAGACCTAGGGCCAAAACTTTTCCAAGGAAAAGGTCCATCCATCATTTGGACAGCCACCAGCTTCAAAGACTGCTGGATGGCTTAGGAATTTTTTTGAAAAATGTTGGCCTGGACTCCCTGAAACTTTGTAGGAAATTACAGGTGGTCATTTTGGATGGCCTGTACCCGCAATCTTGGGAAAAGTCCTGCCTAGGACCAGTTTCATTCAAAAAGGATAGAATGAATTAATAAATGAATGGATCAGTGGATGGACAGATTGGTAGATGGGTAGTTGCGTAATGGATTGATCAATGGTTTATAGTTACACTAAAAATAATGATTAAATAATAATAACCAAAAAAAAATAATAAATAAATAAATCGATAGATAAATATGAAAAAGATTATGAAGAAATGAGTCTAAATGTGCAACATCAATTTTCTTTACAGGTCTGTACCTGGATGCCCTAGCAGCAATGAAATATATTTTTCAAAGAGAAGACATTGACCACTCTAAAATAGTTGTGTTTGGGAGGTCTCTGGGAGGGGCGGTAGCTATATATGTATCTACCCATCCACACTATAGCAGGAAGATCTTTGCCGTGATTTTAGAGAATACATTTACCTCCTTGCCGCAGGTGGCTAAGGCATTATTTCACTTAGGTTTTCTACAAAGATTACCAAACTGGAGTTTTAAAAACCAGGTGAGAAAACATATGCGTGATTTGTTTTGATTTTTGTGTATTTATTGACTAGGTATTTATCTATTTATTATTATTGTAATTTTTTTTTTTTTGGGGGGGGGGGGGTGAAGAGATGTGTTTCCAACAGTTTACACCATATTGTTAGATTAGTTATCTCTATTCTAGGTGCATAACTTTGAAAGGAATGTTTGTCTGATTGTTCAGGTTACATATTAGAATAAGAAATCATGTTATTATCATAACTGACCTTGAAGACCTTGATTCAATGATTTCAGTATCCATCTGTGATCCGTATCAGACAACTGCAGCTTCCTACTCTGTTCTTGTCAGGACAGAGCGATAATCTCGTCCCGCCTGCCATGATGAACGAGTTATACGATGTAAGTATTAATCGATCTGTGTGATGATAAACAGTTTGATGACCAACTTTTGGATCATTACTGTAAATAGGTAATAATATAAATAATATATAATTATTAAATTTGTGCATGTACATATAATTCATATGGATGGATGTTTCAGAAATCTGGCAGTATACTAAAAAGACTGGTGAAGTTTCAAGGAGCCTCCCATAACGAAACATGGCAGAGCAACGGGTACTATGATGCTATAAATAACTTTATGATGGAGGTTAGTCAATTTGTGTAAACTTAAAGACTCATTTTGAACTCAAGTGGATCTGTCAGACAATTTGTATTCTTATAGATTGGGCAGATCATGGGACAAACTTACCTCTCAGAATATTTCAAAGCCTTTCTTTGAAAAATCAATGAGTGAATTGAAAAAAACTTGGAAAGCTCTATGCCTCTTACTAAGGAAATCTTATGCATTGTCTTTTTTCCTTATTATTCAAATTTCCTTTTTTTTTTGACAAAATGATTAATATTTCCTTATTTAGTTAGAGTCATGTTGCAGTGGTTGCACACAGTTAAAATTTCATTGAATCTTCTAATTTTTCAAAGTTAAAAACACAAAACATAATGCTGCTCCCTCAAGTATGTAGATCTGTGTAATAATGATAAGTTTTTAGTTTATAAGGGTTCAACTGATTGAAATTTGGCCTTTTTTTCTTTCAAGGTATACAAATCTAAGGTTGTGAGATCGTCTGCAGACACAAGGTTAGAACTAGGTGACGGTCAAGGTGATCATGTGGAAGGGGAGGTCAAGGTCATCTAACAGCTGACAACTTTCTTTTGAAATATCAGGCGGCCTTTGGGCTTTAAGATATCTTAATCATAAAGACATAAAGGAAGCTTTGTTGTATAGAAGTATAGTAAGAGTTGTGATTGGTTTAATTTATGAAAGTAAACCATGTCAGCTTTGAAACAAGTGAACAGCACAAGAACTGAAATTTAAAATCTGAAATTAAAAGTGAAGCATGGACACTCACCTGAAATTCAAGATGAAGCATGGACACTCACAAAGTATTTTTTTGAGTCAATAGAAATCAGTAAGAAAATTCAGATGACATAACAAATTTAAAAAAAGGAAAATGCAGTAGGTTTTAATTGCAAATTTTGTGCAGGAAATTGCTGCCTATGTCTTTATGGTGATGCAGAGTCAGCAATCTGGCTGCATTTGATTCATTTTACTTATTAACATTTCATTCATATATTATATCAACCAGATGATATGGGATCTTATGGCGTCAATGCGCAGTGTATGGGGCTGCAACTGTTGAACTCCACGGTAGGAATCGGTGATCATTATCTAAATATCACCTAAAAATACGGTTAAAATTCCATGGGTGGGCACCCCACCCCCACCTCTCCCACCCCCATTGATAGCCTACAGACCTGTATATTAGGTTATATGCGATCTTAGCTGGGCAATTTAGCTTTAGGACGGACGCAGCCTCTTCCCAGAGATAATTATATATTTGTACACAGTTTAAAAATTATGCTAAAAATGTACGTCCAGTAATAAGAAATAAAATGTTATTAAGAAAAAAAAGTAATAAACATTGAGAAATGTATATATCGTATATTTCTTGGTATTGATTCTTAATATTTTACCAATTTTAAATAATAAAAATCTATGAGATTATATTTTATATAGTATCAGTTAAGAATATTAATTTACAATGGATACATTTGATAAGTAATGATATTGCAAATTGTCATTCCGAAAACTATATAATATGCCTTTACCATAGAGTCTGAAATGTTGAGCAATTATAATTAATGATAAACGGCTTAAATAAATGACTTAAAATGGGTTATAAATTTTGAAAGTACCCTGTAAAAATGTACACATCTTTTCTGAAGATAACCGCCCCTGACCTTAAATGTACGTATATGTGCTTGGTTGTGCACGTTAGAAATATTCCTTGACAACAAACTAGGCCGGATCGAACTCGGGGTTATCAAATGTAAATAATATCTCGTCATGAGGCCAGTCGTTATATAAAACCCACATGTAGGTGAGTGTGAGCGTCTGAACCAAAATACTTGACACTGCCAGGGGTTAAAGCACCTATACAGGGCGTCCATCATGGTGAGAGCGTGGTATCTGGAAGGTGATGACGGCGGCATCAAAGCTGTGTCGCAGGAGAATGGCCGGGTGAAGTTGATTGGCGTGGATGAACTGACAGAGAAGACTGGGTTGTTATTCTGGACGGCAAGTAGATATAACAGATTATTTTCTTCGTACTGCTGTCGAACTAGACGTGAAGTACGTTTTACGTTTAGTCAGTCAACGTTTTCCCTCGTCCTGCTCTGACTCTTTTCCACATGCTCTCTTATCCTTTATACGCTTCCCTTCCTCCCTCCCTCTCTCTCTCTCTGTCTCTCTCTTTCTCTCTCTCACACACACTCCAACACGTGCACACGCACCAACACGTGCGCACACACAACCAAGGCTGTAGGCTAAGGCGGGCAATGGGGGTATGTTTGTAGGCCCGCCTCCAGACATTTTTGCTTGAATCTACGGCCACGCACACGAGCGTACGCTCTCTCTCTCCCTCTCTCTCCCTCTCTCTCTCTCTCATGAAACGACTTTCTTGTATAAAACACAACTTTAAAACTTCCAGATAGATGTGGACAGCATAAAAAACATGAAAGAGAACGAGACGCTGAAGAAGATAAAGCAAGAACGCGGCTACACGTGGGAAGACGACATCGAGATCTCGAAGGGAACTCTTCCAGACTTCGAAGAAAAGGTGAGAGATAAAACACTGGGCATCTAGCTTATATTGAAGTGGAGGCGACGTTGAAATCAAAAAGCAAAGCTAATGTAAAAGGGATTAGAGGATGCATTCCCCGTGCGTCTCTAGCCCAACTCCCCGACATTTTTTTTCCATAACCACTTGAGGATATCTTCGGAAACCACCACTGAACCCAAATCACTAACCTTTTTACTATAATAATTTCTTCTTCAAACAATTAAAATCAGATTTAGAATCACAAAATGCTCTTGAAAAAATTGTGTCTGTTAAGTATTACTTAACATTAAATCAAATAAAAAAATATTTTCTAATAATTTGCTTTTTGTAGACGAAGGCTTTTGCCACGGAGCACATGCACCCGGATGAGGAAGTCCGTTTGGTATTGGACGGCACTGGGTTCTTTGACGTCCGCGATCGTGAAGACCGCTGGATACGTCTGCAATTTCAAAAAGGAGACATGATAGCGCTACCCCCCGGCATGTACCACAGGTTTAACCTCGGTTCAGACGAGGTAGGTTTACATCTGTGCATACGTGTGTGTCTGCGTGTGTGTGTGTGAGAGAGAGAGAGAGAGAGAGAGAGAGAGAGAGAGAGAGAGAGCTTGTGTGTGTGTGCGTGCGTGAGTTTGTACATGCGTGCGTGAGGGTGTTCGCCAGCTTACAGGTACAGTCATTTTAAACGTGTGAGTGTGTGCGACAATGTATCTAACTTTTTGCTACCTCAGCACGATTAACATCATTTAATTAAGAAGCACATGTGATGTAGAAAGGTTATCACGAGATTCGAGAGTCAAATAAAATCGTTTGCTGATAATTTTGAGACATAGTTCGTAAAATAGGTCGATTTGAAAGTAGAGATAACCTGTACAAACAGATTTTACTTAGACTTGTAGCTAAGGTATTAATAGAAGCATTTTAAATTTCGTTTAAGTGGTTGTACCGCTTCTCTTAAGAGAAATATCAAGACAAATATGTGGACAAATTTACTACAAAATTCAACTTAGTAAGAACACTGCGCACTGATGGACGACTCATCTACAAAGTCTTATAATTAAAAAATAGGAAATTGTGCAGACCCTAATTAGCGAAAGATGTTTTTGTCCGCAATGTTACTCTCAATGGATTGTTCCAGCTAGTTGCCCTCCTAGTTGTATATTTGTAACCAGTTATCTAACAACTTATCATGGTTATGTTTCAGGGTTACCTTAAGCTCCATCGTATTTACTCCACCGTGCCGCAGTGGACTGCACACAACCGTATAGCAGACGACTAACTTGCAAGACAAGCCCACACCGAAAAACGTTGCCAAGAGGCTGGTCCTGCACAGCGCTGGTCTTGCAGGCGCGGTACATTTTTATGTAAATCATTGGCCTAACTTTTTGAATAATTTTGGTATTTGTGGTTGATTGTTTGGTTTTCTAAGCCTCTTGTTTTAGCAATAATTTTGATAGAGTAAACGATGTCGGTCTGATATTTTATTTATTTATTTATTTATTTATTTATTTATTTATTTAGCATTGTCATGAATAATATAGATGTAAACTTTAAGAATTTACGAAATCCGCAATAATTTAAAGACAATTTCAGTTTTATACATGAATTTCCAAATGTTGTCATTTTCCGGTATAAGCAGCTCTTAGAGAAAAATAAAGACCTTATGCATAGTATGTAAAAGTTATCTTTGAAAATTACATCTTGCATAAACATATTTTATTATTTTACGTAATCCATACCGATTTTCACACCACTACTGTACACTTTCTTCAAAGAAAACAATGCCAGCTGGGATACAAAATAACCGCTCTTTACATGTCACATCGTAGTCGTCTTTAAAAGACATCCGTTATAGGAGAACACATAAGTTTACGTACATTATTTTTTATAATCATTATCTATTTGTGAATAATACGATTTAAGTGGGCACATCGCTCCGTTAATGCAGTATTCCAAGAAGAAACCTTGCTTTTCTTGCACGGCAACGGTTTTGAAACCTGTGAAGCAACAGGTTTACAGTAAATTTTAACCGGTTGTGTCTATGCTTGAACTTTTATATATATGTGTGTGTGTGTGTGTGTGTGTGTGTGTGTGTGTGTGTGTCTGTGTGTGTGTGTGTGTGTGTGTTAATAGATTAGAATTTATAATGTCACCAAACAGGTGCTTGTCTTGCCAACTTTTTAGGCCCAGCGGTTCATCCCAGACAAAAAACCGCTCACCCTCTTACACACACACACACTTGTGCGCGCGGACNGGGGGGGGAACGAGATCGTTGCTGATATTAACCGACATTTCAAATAGTTCTCTAACTAGCTTCCTAGCAAATTGTAACATCAATATCAGAATGAATAATGCACGGAGACGAAATGAGCCTCAGGGTTTACAAACTGTTGCTGGTAGTTGTGTTTAAGGACGCTTCTTCCAGAACAAAACAAGAAGTTTATATAAATGTATTTTATTATAATATCTTTCTTGTTTTGAATTATAATTTTCGCACAAGTTCTCAATTATCGTTTATTCAACCGGTTGAAGTGAGCACAATCATTCTGTTAATGCAGTATTCCAAGGTTGAGTCTTGCTATCTTGCACGGTGACGACTTGTTTCAAACCTGGAGCGAAACAGATTTACATTGAATTTGAAAGGGTCAAATATGCAGTGATCGCTCTCGCTCTCTCTCTCTCTCTCTTGCTTTTCCCTCTCTCTCTCTCTCTCTCTCTCTCTCTCTGTAAGATTTGGTAACTTGCCCAAAAATATAAATTTGAACTAAATTTTGTTGTTATTCATACTTTTAAATGGGCTAATTCTAAAGTGTTTATAAATTGAATAATACGATGATGGAGCGAAAGGTCTTCGTCTTACCTGGAATCCTTTAAGCCCTTCTATAGTTAAGTGCCTGTAAAACAAATGAAATTCAGTCAAGCAAAAAGAGTTGAATAAAAAAAAAACAGTCAAGAAAATACGTTAATTTTATTAAAAATAAGAAAATCACCTCAACATTCAGATCTATGCTGCCATAGGCGAAGTGAAACTTTTAGTTATATTGTTTTAGAAAGAAAGAAAGAAAAAACCTTAATTCTATCCAACGCATTAAACCTAGCTAACTATTTCGATGTATACTGTCAAAGGCGTAGTAAAACTTTGGATAATATTAGTCTACAAAGAGAAAGAAAGAAAGAATAGATTACCCTAGTCAATTTGTCACTGGCTACGCAGTCACACCCACTGCAGGTACAGGAGACGCCGGAGCAGGTATTACCGCAGCATGTACAGGTAGCGGCCAGGGAGGACACGGCATCAGCAAGGCCAGCATTTGTCTCTGAAATTACATGATGGAATTTATTGATACCTGTTAATCTCTCTCTCTCTCTCTCTCTCTCTCTCTCTCCAACACAGAAACACACGCACATACACGTAGTTACACGCAAACATACACAAACGCTCGTACACACCTTATAAAGCTACCCGAAGAATAAACCATAAATTCTTTTTCTGGGTAACTCGAAAGCATTGCGTATTGCAAATAGCGATATCACATAGAGGCTACAGTGTATTATATGGGACGAGAATGGTCGAGTTATGGAATCGAGACGCTTGCGCTCGGTCGCAATGCGCGATGCTTTCGAGTTACGGGGCCCTGATCTACCTTTAAAAGTCTTTTCAAATTTGAATTTCACGTTCTCTAATTATTCAGTTTCAACGTCATCATTTTAGTCGGTACTCTTTGTATGTATATGTGAAAAAAAGGTTATCAAATCTAGCGCAAAACAAAACAAAAATAACATTAAACAATAGAAAAGCTTTCAGGGGGCGCGCAATCCCCTCGGAAAAAGGCAGATCACTCCTCATTATTAACTTATAACTGGAAAACTGCCAACTTTCCTAAGTTATCGTACCTGACATTTCCCGAAAGTTTTAGCACAATTTAAAATTCGACCACAACTTTCTGATATGGCCTTTTAATTAACAAGCAACAAAGGCAAAAATATATCCGCCATGACAGAGGTACTGAAAAACAAAATAGAATAAAATAGGAGAAAAAAAAATAAATAAAGGTAAATTACCTTGAACAACTACTGCAGCCAGCACCAAAACAACGAGCAGAGCGCAAGTCTTCATTTTTTAGTTCGATTCGCGTTGAACAATATCAAAAGATACCAGTATTCAGATTTCAGAGCGTTCTGATCACCTCCCCAAATTAGGCTGATATTTATACTATTTTTCCCGACCAAATTTAAATACATTTCAAATAATGAAGACAAATGACCATTGTCGTGAGCGTCCAAAATTCGTACCAGGGTTATTATTTTACACCCTTTTACTAAATCGCCTTAAACACGCTATTTCGACTGTCCAGATGTATTTCCGCGTTATCAGCTGGACATTTCCTGACAGAAAGTACTGTATTTATTGGCCTTTACGCGTCACAGATACGGTTCGTGGATTTAATCAGCGCCATTTTACTAAGCACCATATTTGGAATGTACAACTTACACCTTGAAATCATCTTTCATAAACCATTTCTTTCTTCGTTGTTAACTGCCCATTTGTTATCTGTAGCGCAAACTTCGAAAGCATAATTAATATGCTTAACGGGTGATTGGTGCATAAAGTGCGTACGCGTAGACACACACGCGAACTTTCCTGCACGCACTTATTTAAGCTTGTCACTACATCACGACAATATAGCGCGTACTTTAAACATAAGGGTTATCTTTGCCTTCAATCCTTATTGGTACGCTTAAATGGCAGCAAGTAAAAAAACTTGCCTTTTTTGTTGTATGGGTATTTTGTAATTAAGATGATGCCATTATAATGTTATCTCAGTGTAATATTTGGTGTAAAATTTCTGGTTTGTCAAATTAAGTACAATAGTACACACCATATCACTTCCATTCTGAAATAATTACATTGGCTGCCTGTGAAGCAGAGGATTGATTTTAAAGTACTTTGTATTATTTTTAAGGCGATCCATTCACAAGGACCATTATATTTATCTGATCTTATCTGTTTTAACTTACCACGGCGGTCCACACGTTTTAATACTGAGAATGATTTTATTTTAGAACATTCTGTTTTAGAGAAGGGGTGCCTCAAAAGTTATGGAGATCGTGCTTTTATAATCTACGCCCCAAAAGTGTGGAATGGTCTACCAAATTTTATTAGAAAAACAGAAGACTTTGACAATTTTAAATCTCTTTTAAAGACCCACATTTTTAATTCTGTCTATATCTCTTAGTTTTTTTTAAATATATATATATATATATATATATATATATATATATATATATGTATTTTAATAATATTGATTTTTAGTAGTGTAAATTTTAAATGGTTTCCAATGAGAGTTTATGATTAAAATATTGTACTCATTTTAATGATTTTAGTATATTAGCCATTATTGTAAGGCGCCTTGAGATAAATGTAAGGCGCCATATAAGAATCTTATTATTATTATTATTATTATTATTATTATTATTATTATTATTATTATAATTGTGTCAATATAATAAAATTCTTGCCAAATCGGATTGATATATTCTGAATAAGGTAAACAAATAACCATTGGAAACTTTGCCAGAAATATGTGTATTATTATTTCGTATTTGTCGTGCTTTAAACATCTGGGTCCCTGAAATAGAAAATGCGAAAAAAAGAATACAGTCGTTTATTTGGTTCAGTCCAATTGAAAAAAAAAGTACTCTGAAAGACAAAGGAAATATTACAAGTAACTATGGTGCTTGGAACTCCACAAGGCAATGGATGTCAAGTGGTGCAAGAAAACTGTCGTCTGTGGATTATAATTTTTTAGTCATAATCCCGTTAACCAATCAAGGTCTCTTGGATACCACGTTAACTTTGGTGTCTCAATCCGCGTAATTGATAACTGTCCAAAACGGAAAAAACCACAAGAATTGTCAACAACGTTAACAATTATGATAAAGAAAAGAGAACGCGGTTAATGATTTTCTTTCTCCGAACTGGCCGTTCTAGCGTATCGCGCTTCCACGAAGTGGCCACTTAATCGCTGATTAACAGATACCCAAAGAAACAAATTGCATTCCACTGAGTGCAGATTTAATCAGGACATTTTGTCCACTTGTTGACCATATCTCTTTTTAATTGGAACAATGTCATGAAATCCGACCTGGGTTGAGCAGGGCTGTTTTCACAGGTGTCTGCTTCAAGGCGAGGTTATCTCATCATACACAACTGAGCTGTCTTAACGTAGGTCTGCTATCATTGAGTGTTTTTCTGTATACTTCATTTGAACAATACTTACGACACCACATCTACCATATAAAAACTAGACCCAATGATATCGTGACCGATTGGTTAAAGGTATTAAAGCATGCACCCACTGGCTAACTTGTCCAGTTTTTATGCCCTCCCTGCATGACCAGCACAAACTAATATTAATGAACGTCCACACGAAAGATTGGTCCAAAATGATAGTAAAAATCTTTAAAATGAAAAATGTTAGGCGTTGGTCTTCTACAGTTTTAAGGATTATTACTATTTATTATTTCAGTTACATATACTGGAACTAATACATGTATATCGTGTTGGCGGACAATAAAATAGAATTTTGGACGATTCGTCTTCTGAATATATAGCATCTATCTTAATTCCCAAGGTCATTTTTCAGGGGCGTAACCAGACCTTATTAAATTGTAGCACAGATTTTCACAATTCCCAGGTACAGTCGAATGTAGACTTAAGCAACAGATGGAGGGTATAATAATAATAATAATAATAATAATAATAATAATAATAATAATAATAATAATAATAATAATATTTATTTATAGTCTAAAATCCAACATGTGTTCAGTAGACTTTACAAAAATTATAAAATTCAAATTAAAAGAAAAATATTGCTAATGGTTATAAGATGAAAGGATATATAAAATGGATAAAAAAAGGGGGAAATTTAAAACTATGACTAAGAACAGTTTTTCTTAAGAAGTGTTTTTTCAAGAATTTAAAGATAATATTGTTTAAAAAGGTGGGTTTTTAGTTCCTTTTTAAAATGTCCAAGGTCCACAATTTGTCTAAAGATTTATCATTAAATTATATGTGCCAAATATCATAGCTTAGTTTTCACAAGTAATAAAATCATCACTGAAAGTTAATAATATCCCCGCGATTTTTAAATTTAAAAATAATTCTGTACTGCCAATAACTAGTTTTCAAGTCAATTTTATTTATTTATTTTTTTTTTTTGGGGGGGGGGGATTCATTAGCGGGATTTAGCAAAAGAAAGCGGCCTCGATTGGCCAGTAACCTGCGTTGTTTCTCTGCGTGGTTCGGATGATGTTGTTAATGTTTGTGGTAAAAGGGGAAGGGGAAGACTTAACGGAATGGATGCCAGCACGGGAAGTGATCCGAAGTTAATTTGACAGTTCCGAGAAGTGAATAGCAACCATCAAAAAGGTTAAATACTGAAGCCCTATTTGACTGACGTTGTGAAAGCCTGGTACTTGTATGATTAGAAGCAGATGAGATGGGTGGGGCAGATTAATTTTATTTTTTCCTTTTCCTTCTGTTTTGTAAAAGCACTTTTTGCAAAGACCTTACAATATGTCCATAAAAGGACACAGGTATGACTAAATTCATAAATCATTGCAAAGAAAATTAATAATATAAACGAAAATAAATACAATGGACGCAGTGAAATCGTTAACATATAGATTTTATCTTTTTATTCTTGTATTTTTTGTTTTGCTTTTTAAAATGAAGTAATCTTTTCCGATTAAGATCGGACGTTTAAGCACTACCAGCAATAGCAAAATGAATGCCAGCACGAAGGTTGAACTGAAGTCAACACGTTCGTTCTGACAAATAATTAATATTCCTGAAACTATCATTTTAAGCCTAACTCAACTACGACGGCAGAGCGCTGACCCAGGATTTGATCTGATCCTTGCAGCAGTGTGTAATAAATTTATTGACGTACACTGTAATAAACTGATTGCTTATTGAAGCAATCAACTAATTCATTACTGACGCAATAACCTCGTTGGTTCCTGAGGTAATAAATCTGTTAATTACTGACGTAATAAACTGATTCCTTCCGGACGTAACAAACACATTGCTTACTGGGGCAATGAACTCGATGCTTATTGATGCAATGAACTTATACCACACTTAAGGTATTAACTCATTGCTTACGGACGCAATGAACTAATTTATACGGATATAATAACTAGTTGTTAACTGATGTTCTAAACAATAGTATTACTCAGTATGGATATTAAACAACTCAAATTAATGCATACTGGCGTATTATGTTCGCTCAGTGATTTATTCGTTCCTTCCTCAATATGTTATTGAAAAACTCGACACTTTCAAAATATAATGTTATCAAATCTAATTATTTTTATCAAATATAACTTTCTCACTTCTACAAAATTGCACTGCCCGGTATTGCATTATAGTCAAGAGCTGTTGCCCTTTTCCCCTTCAAAGTCGGGCTTTGACATTTTAGTCAACATCAGATCCATACATCACTGTTTATGGCCTTTAAATGATATGTTATTGATATATTATATACTGACATTATTAAACAATACATTATTGATATATTATATATAGCATTTTGATATAATTAAGTGATATATTATTGATATATTACATATGATATATTGATAAATTAATCATTTGTTTCAGCCTTTTCATTTGTTGATTTTTTGTGAAAGTGGGCCAAAATTCGTTCCCTTAGTGGTCACAAGCTCGGTGCAACAGGTGCTGAAGCAGTACGCTTTCTTTGCTGACCTTGTTATCAGGGTCACTATAACTTAATCAAATTTGTGAACAATTAAAATGAAGCAATATCCTATCCTTTCTGAATCAGATCTCATCTGCCATGAGTATCAAAATGTGTTTGCTCTCTGGAATCATGTCTTGTTCCCCTGCTTGTACTTCTGTCTCCCAAAGCCAATCAGTATAGCAATGCCTGCCACAACTGCAGAGAAAACCCAAGCACCTGTCAAAAAAGTGTCTACCTGAAAAATAAAATAAATCAGTGAAAAAAGAAAAAAAAAACAATTAAACAAATGGGTTTATAAATTGGAAAAAGTGATGTTATACATGAATAAAAGAATTTAAGATATGAATGAGTTATTATTTTATAAAAAATAAAACGAATGTACTACTACTACTGGCAAAATATTTTTCCCAACAAATATATTTATTGTGTTAGATGTGACAGTGATCACATGACCACATCTTTGCTGCATTGGGCCATATTCAGAAGTCGATCTGTGAACTAACAGATCCCCAGAATTAATATGTCCAACCCACTTGAAAACTTGTTGCATATTCCCCTTATAGAGACTGAATAGATTCCCTGCTGGGATATAATAATAATAAGGACACCACAATGAAAAGTTATAAAAGGGGGACAAAGAAATAATAAACTGTCTGGAGCTGAAAGGAGTTTAGTTAAAGAAAAATAAACAAAATAAAAATACCTGTTCACTCCACTCCACTCCATATCTACACCAGGCTGCAAAATGTTCACAGTTTTTCCAGAGGACATTGTAGCCGATCTCTCCCAGCTTTGACAGAGCCCTCTCCACAATCTCCTCACACCCAGAAGGTCTGAAACAAGAGGTTTTAGGTGTGAGATTAATTTGTTCCATGTAACCTGCCCCCTGTAATACTTTAATATTACACATTTCAAATATTTTAGTTAGCACTGAAGAATGAATAAATTTTTTTCCTAAAAAAGGATTGTGACTTATGAACAATATGGAATTAAGCTAACTGGACTGAAAAGAAAACATTAATTCCATGGATCCTATTATATCGCCATTTTAAAGTAAACAGTGGTCATCTAACATGTTTGTATTGGCAAAGATGTGTTAATTCTGTATCTCAACACCATTTACGTTTTTTAAACCGTCAATTAACTAATTGCACATCTTGGTAAAAAAAAGAAAAAACTGCAAAGGAAAAAATGTTTTATCAACATAGTAACATCTACTAGTATTCTATCTACCTTAATTGGTATTGGTGTTATGCTAATTACAAACATTTACCTGTGTTTGCGGTCTTTTCCATTGTTTTTGACAGCCTTACTCTCCCCTGCCACATCCCAGAAGAGAGAAACTCGAACAAAAGCCTTCTTTAATTGTACACCACAGGGGCTGCAGAACTTCCCTGGATCCCCTTTGCCATCTTTAATTCCATCATTTTCTCCAGTAAGGTGAACCACTTGCTCATCACCTGAATGTAAATATTAATTCTATTATTTAAGTTAATTTAAAATCTTTGCTTTAAACCGTTCTATTTTGTGGTGTTGTAAATCTTTCCTTCTGACTCTTACGTGGTGTGTGAACTCCTGCAGTTGATTCACTACATTTACTGTGGACGTTATGTTTTCAGTTCATTTAAAACGTTTATTTTAGCTTCAGTCTACATGTAGCCTACAATCTTTGCACCTTAGCGTTAAATGACTTTCGACTACTATCGCTACAAGAAATCTGGTGACATTTTACTAGGAGTGCAACCCCAACTCACCTATATAAACGGCCCAGTGGGAGTACATCGGCCTGTGAAACTCTATCATGTCTCCCGGCTCAAGGGAATCTAACACTGTCTGGTTATGGCGTCGCACAACTTCCATATTTCACCTGTCCTCGGTTACTGTAGCAACAGCTTCTGATCCAAAATTTTCTATCGATCAGCTTACAGGCTGCGGAGAACGGTCTTGCTTACTTCCCGTTACTAAAGATGTCCTTCAATTCAGGAAGTTATATACCACTTAATAACAATGTCATGAAAGCAGCGGGAAATACCACAGCTGCTGGAAAAAACATAATTTGATAAGTAGTTCGAGTGCCTGACTTCAACGTTGGTCAGCCATCTTGTGAATTTCCCTGCACTATTTTTAGCTCTGACGTCATCGGTAACGTTTGCCTATAAATTCCAAACCAGGTCAAAGCTCTAAGTGGCGGACTTAGAAGGACCCTCCTGACCCCCTTTAAATCCGCCACTGCCCTCGACACCCTTCTAAATCCTGACCCCTCCCCCCCCCCTCTCGGTTTCTGAAAAAAATCACGCTAATATCCCCCTCATGAAATTAGCATTAAACTAGCAACGTTCGCCCTCTTAAATACCAAAAAGGCCTTTTGGGGCCCCGAACCCCACGCCAACGGTTGGCTTTGCATTTAAGGCCTGTCACCTGACCACCCCCCTTTCAAATAATCCTGGATCCGCCCTACCATCTACCAGGGCGACAGATTTATTTTCCACAGATATTCATATACATATTTCTAGATATATAGACAGTAGGGCCTAATTGCAAATGGTCTGATGGCCAAACGTAAGAGGTTCGTTTTGAACAGCCAAAAATGTCCACAATAATAACTGCGGCCCTGGTTATCCTTGATCTGTTTTGGAATCTAGCGATTTTTTTCATAAAATTTATTTCCGAATATTTTTTCGACAAGAACCATATATAAACAAAATTGTAATTGTATTTTGTATAATTAAATTGATTTGATACGTAAAATGCATAATACGCCTTATTGTAAGTGAATGAAAATAATCAAAGCAATTGAAAAATTAGACAAATAGAATAAACGATAAAAAACTAAAGACAAATTTTTCATTTTTCCATTTAACAAAATAAACAACTGCTTAATAAATACTGATTTGCAGCAGGTAAAATACAAAAACAAAGACAAGACAATAAATATTGCATTCTTATTCACTCAGTTTTGTAGAGTCTAAAATATAACATGCAGAAGTGAATAATTATAACAATAATAATAATGCAATTAATAATAATAATAATAATAATGCATTAAACAATTAATATAAATAGAACACATCCAAAATGTGATATTGCATCAATGGCTGGTAATATCATGCACATTTCCTGGAAATTCATAATTTTTTTCTTTATCACCAAGTTATACCATGTCTGAGGACGATATAAAGAATTACGATCCTTGACTCAGTTCCCCTCCCCATATTTTGTTACAGTTAAGTGAAACTTAAACTGTATTTATATTCCCAACAACAGTGCCTTTTTATTTTCATTGAAAGGGTTATCAAGCTAGATATCCGGTATTTGAGTGCCCTAATTACACCACAGAGTTGTCAATATAAGTATAATTTTTGAAAAATCAAACTACTGAAATGTCTCTCACTTTCCTCAAATTACACTACCAGTTTCTCTAGGCGTATGTTTTCGATTTTTTCTTTCGTCCCATAACGGCAAAGAACACAGCAATCTCAACGCCAGTGATGGACACAAATGCCCCAAGAATATACCAAAGCCAATTAGCCTGAAAATATAAAAGTAAAAAATAAAGAAAGTTTAAACACATTTTATATCTTATTCAGTGTTGTAAATATGTCTTTTATTCTTTGAAGTATGGCCGGTCCAGCACAATGACGTGATTGTAAGCTAGATGGAATGGTGTTTTGCAAGTTGCCATAATTTTCTGAATGAATGAATATAAGGGATGTTAGGTTAGATAAAGGATGGATCAATAGTTATGTAGATGGATACGTAGATGGGTCGAGCGACAGATAAATGTAGTGGAGATAAGGTGTCCAAAAACATCAAAACCGTAACTACCAGACAGACACATGTATACACAGATAGGGCGCCTCATACAGAGTTATATATATATATATATATATATATATATATATATATATATATATGAAAAAAAAAGCATTGACAATTAATATTATTTAAACAAAGCTATATGAAAATACCTGTGCACTCGATGATTCTCCATTTCTACACCAGGTGGTGAAATGTTCACAGTAAGCCCATAACACACTGTGCTTTTTTCCCTCCCAGCTTTGATCTGGCTCTCTTTACTATATTTCATCAGGTGGCAGAGGACTGAAACGTGATAATTTGGATGTGAGATAAATTTGTTCTAGCTCATCCAATATTTTAAATATTTTAAAACTCTGATTAGTCAAATTTACGTTTTTATTATAGAAAATAAATTAATAAATAGGTATGTGAATAGAAAACTACTTCTATTATATCATTATGATGATACTTTTAACAACTATCACAATTGCACTGGATTCTGTGTGATGTCATACGATAAAAAATTATATATCTGCGCTTCTTGTGCATGCTATTGTTTCGGAATGTCTCAATGTCGCCTACTACATCCCAGAAAAGAGAGCTTCTAACCTTGTATTTCTTTGAGTTTTCACTCTTGAAATGGGTGCGTAGCTCACTTCCATCTCTAACCCATCATTATCTCCCGTACGGTGGACAACCGCCTCATTGCCTGAATGATATTGAAATTATTTTGGTTAAAAATATTCCTTCAAAGCACTTCCGTGTTATTGTCCTGTATTCAGTCCCATCTGGCGTCATTACTACTACATGTGGTATACTACTACATAGATGTCAATAGCAATTGGCATTAAAAGAAACGGAATATGTACAGTGTACATAAAGTATCTTCTTATAACACAACTCTTATGACGATCCAAATGAAATGAAATAGAAACATCAATCAATACTAATAATAACAAAAGAAAATTGTAATTCTAGCTACATATTAATTGTCAAGTATGTATAAATATACTTCAAAACAGATTAAACAAATCATTAAGGTATTTGTTTTCAAACCTTTATGTCTTTGTCTCGTCACATTATCAGATGTGTTAAAGATAATGTCATATATATAACAAGCGAGTCTACTTTTGTATTTTGATCTGTTTGAGTCCCTGATGAGGCCTCCGGACCAAAACGCCTGAAGGGTTTTGTATTAATTAACATGGAGATAACAGATTAACTTTGCTCATTTTCTTTATATATATATATATATATATATATATATATATATATATATATATATATATATATATATATATATGTAAACCCCATGTTAATTACACCCTGGCTTGGCCCAGTCTTTATGGCTTCTTTGCATTTTGAACAGCATAAAGGGCAAGGTAATTGACCAAGTATATTGGCCAAGCTGCCAGTTTGTTTGTATGGCATATGCAGCGGATGTCTTAGATCAAGGCACATAATGTGATACTTACAGGTGTGGCAAATGAGATATAGTTGTATTTCATTACCTTTGATTTGTAAAATTCATCTGAGGATAATACTTTAAAATATATTGATCGTTTAAAGAAAGGGCGTGTAGACTGATTTATTAACGTTTACTAAAGAAATATTAAATTAAAGGTGGGCTCCATTTATTAGTGTGTTATTTTATTTTTTTTTTTAGTTTTTATATAGATTGTAGGAAAAATTCTGCCCTTTAATATTTTGTTGGCCTTTTGGGAAAATATCTGCATTTTCTTAAGGGTGTAAATATACGCAAGAACGATATTTTCAAAAATAAGTCATTGGTTACTGTCGGGTACATTTTCACATTGTCAGCCTCTTTGCACATTTTTATCTATATCATGCAAACATACAGTATAAACGGTACTGCATACACTGTACATAGCAAGGTACAATAATATGACAAGTATTACCGATAATGTTCAAGGTCAATTTTTTGCTACTAACACTCAAATCGGCGGGCAAACTGGTTCAACATCCTTCCCTTTGGTGCTTGAATAATCACACATAAAATCAATTCCTAAAAAGATACGTTATAGTTTTAGTTATATTATCCATTATTGTAAGGCGCGTTGAGGTAGTATGTAAGGCGTTATATAAGAAGCTTATTATTATTATTATTATTATTATTATTATTATTATTATTATTATTAACTTGACATAAATATATTCGGTTAGACAGGCTAACATTCGTGACTGGCACTTTTCAAAATGAATATATCATATAAATACTCTCGAATAATCTTCAATATAAATAAATAACACCGCTCTGAAAACTTAGCTATGTGTTATATTACAATTGTCATTAAATCTGTACTAACACACCTATAAACATCTCACCAATGTACATTAACACCTATAATTAATTCCACTTTTTACATTGTTTTTCAAATAAATTAATTTATTTATTTACTTTGCAAGTTGTTAAATACACTTAGCTTCATTTAGTTATAACTATTTTTATTTAATTTTTTTCTTTTTGTTTGCTTTTGTATTTATGTCACGGTCCTGATTCCAATTTAGTCCGGTTACTAACAGGGCTAGGCCAGATCCAAAGTCGGTTTTTGCATTAGTAACAGCGCAATGAGTATGTTAATTGGCCAAGTAATTTGCAGGTGAGCTGCCAGTTTGTTTGTATGACACGTGTAATTAAAATGTGACTTGTATTTAGTTATCAGAACTGTATAATACATACAACATACAATATGACCCGCGTATTTCATCATATTTACTCTATAGATATGTAACAATATCATTCGGAAGGCCGATATCTTTTTCGTATATGGACAGGTTCAATTTGATGATTCAATGAGATTTTTGACTTTCTTTGACCTAACACAAACGCACACTGTGTTATTATTGTTTTACCTTCAGGATGCTTACACTCTGCTCTCACTGCAATGTGGTGATATTTTTCCACATCGTATTGTTTTAATGCAGTGAGCCTTTGTGATTTTTTTATACCTTAATATGTTTTTACTTGTCTTTAAAAATCCTTCAGTTGTTTCTATAACCGACAGTGAAAGATGATGGATGAATTTTTTCGTTGTCGTCATGAATGTTATCTTTATCGAGTGCATCTTCGAGGTTTAATGCTAGCTGGTTCTTGGTGGCTTCTTCAAAAACTTGCGCTGGCACTCCACTATGAAAAACGATTATTTTGTCTTCGTTCTTCTATATTCGTGTCAAAATTTACAGAAGTGCATTGTCTCGTCCGGTAACATTGGCTCGTATGCTCTATTTAACTTAACAAGAAATAAGGAGTATCTCTCCATGTTTTTTATTTTAATTATCTTGAAAAAACGTATTCTTAAACTTCAGTACATTTGTTATAGAATTTGACAATGCGTTTTGCTTTGAAATAAAACCCAGTGCTATCCCTGACCAGGATAACAAGACGAATCCGATGCTATCCTTCACCAGGATTATGAGAAATATACTCCAATAAATAGATTTTATATACAAACACAATGCTGTAAGAACGAGGAAAAATATACGGTACTTATAACATGTATATATAGCTATTTCATTATTTACAGACTTTTGTAATCAAGATTTAATACCGACCTTACCGTGCCCAAGACGCTTCCTTAACATGGACCTAACCGTGCCCTTGATGGCTGCTCTGCAAATGGCGCAATTCTTCATTGCAGGCAACAAGATAGCCGCATGGCAGAAATACCACGGTAACTTCTTCGTCCATACAGATCTTACAGGTGCCCTCTTCTTTCAGTCTTTTGTTTTCCTTAAGCAAGGACTTGGTCTCTGAAATACAATTGGTAAAAATAACTTCAAAAGTGTGAAGATTATGTTATAACGTTTATGCATAAGGGAAAGGACAAATAAACACGTTTGCGCCTACAACATTTAATCAATCTTCTATTAGAATGAGTATTCAATGCCTGCGGATTCGCTTGCGCAAGTGCTAAGCGATGCTTCTTATTGTAAACATCACAAACGGTATATACCTGAGAAAGTCACCCTGTAGCAGCAATTTCAGTGTGCTGATGCTTTTAAAAATTTAAAATGATATATGTACTGTATGGTTGAAAAAATAAAAATGATTTGTTTTCGGAAACTTTGTCAATCTTTATGCCCATTTTCTGAAGCATGCAAACTAGCCCACAGTTCCTAAGTCTTTTGATATCCGATTTATGAATGTGATCTCGATATCGGTTTAATATTACTGGCAGTTTTCTGGTCCTTTTATTTAGTAGCTTGTTACCACAATGGCAACCTAACCTACGCATTCCTTTGCCTTTTTTAGTAAAGCCACTGTAATGAGCTTCATGGTGTAATGATAGTTCATCAGAGATGACATAACAATCTTATTTTCATCATAAAGAATTTTATGCAAATAAGCAACATTAAAGTGTCATTTACAATTAACATCTATGCGCTTATGCGGTTACAGGGTATCTTGACATACTCGGCTTATGCAGTGAAATCTTTAGTTCCCAAGTAGTGGAACAGTAAAGGCATATTTTTCTAACCCTCCGTGTATTACTATGCTGCTGCTTCTCAAACACCTGGCACATGCTTTAACTTCAACACCAAGCCCCTGAATGACCTTGATGGCCATATACTTGATCAATTCACCACGTACACGATACCCTGATACCTATTTCACGGCACCTATTTCAAAGACGTGCTGGGTATAAACAATAGAAGTAACCAGGCATACGCACGGACGTGCGTACAATTTTTTCAGCTAACCATTAGACTATTCTTATAAAACAAGAAGATTCTATATAAAACTTTTCAATCCCTCTCCTCTGTATTAATTTTACTTCTTCTCCACATTAGTGTGTCTACTTTTTATTGCTGTCTTAAATTGTATCTGGTCATTTTGCATGAGAAAGGATGAGTGCAGACAAGAGAGTAAAAGTACCCACCTTTGTACATGACGAAATAAATTGTGAATGAATGGAAATAAATTGATGCCAAATTAAAGTTGGGGTCTTACACTTTAATGATCCACTTAATTTTTTTTTTTTTTTTTTTTTGAATTTGATACATAAAAAATTAAGGTCAAAATAACCTTGTCAAATATTCATAAAAATGTGTGTTTTTTTTTTTTTTTCTTTTTTTGGGGGGGGTCTGAAGTACAATGCTACACATGTATAGTAATAGTAAGGTGACAACTGTGAATTTTTGTAATTGGGTACAAAAGGTGCCCACGTAAAAAGAAAGGTAATACGTGGCCAATCAGTGCTGATTGAAAGAAGAATCTCACAGTGACTTGACGATAAAAGACGTTTATTTTTTATATGAGCCCCTGCCTCAGACAAGCTAATCATTCACAGTTGAAAAGACATGAGTATAAGGTGATATATATATATATATATGTGAAAATCAGCTCGTTTGAGGGTTGGGCTTGATATGTACTCAAACTAAATAGGGACATTATTCAGGCTACGGGCCTAAATAATTACCAGAAGTTTACCAGATAAAGCAATCTAGCAAATACTGATGATTTTATGGTATCTGCTACATGGCCATTTTGAAATCCGTGTATGCAAGGATGCACCTGATTTAATAAGAGCCAAAATAGTTAATTGAGGCACACATCTAGCCACCAGGATTCAGACCTCCCATAGCAAAACTAGCTCCATCAGATGCTGGTACTGCCAGTGTAATGCAGGTTCAAGACAGTTAGAAGTTGTGCACATCTCACTTCAGTCCTGTGGTGTATGGGG